TCAAATGCTTCCTGGCACTCCATCATCCAAACCCATGCAGAGTCTTTTTTTTAATAGTTCATTTAACAAAACTCACAAAAAATGCATGTTTGGCACAAATACATTGTAATAATTTGCCAAACCCAGGAAATTTTGTAGGGAGCTGACATTTTCAAGAGCAGGCATGTCTTTTATAGCACTGGTTCATGCTGGATCTGGTCTCCTGCCATTTTTGTCAATTATTTGTCCCAAATATTTGATTGTATTTATGAAAACTTTGCATTTTTCGTCTTTCAGCTTGAATCCATAGTCCTGAATACTTCTGAAAACCTCAAAAAAATTTTTTCTCATGTTCTTCTGAGTTTCCACTTTTAAATGACTGCAAAGTCAAGTCTAATAAGTATTGTATCTATTACTTGCTGAAAAATAGTTGGGGCGACCTTTATTCTGAAAGCCAAACAATTGAATTCCTTGATGCGTGTTTATTGTAAGTAACTTGGAACATTCATTATCCACTTCAATCTGCAGATATGAGTCAGGTCAATTTTCTAAAATATCCGACCCATGCTAAGTTGTGCAAAAATCTCTTCCGGCCCCAAAGTCGGCAATGATAACCTTTTGGGGGCATCATTTAAACCTGTGGAGAAATACATGCAGACACACATCCCATTACACTTTTCCTTTATATATACCACTGGCAAAGTTCAGTTGCTATAGTCAACTTTAGATAAAACACCCATTTTTTTTCGAGTCTGTTAAGCTCATCATTGATCAATGCAAAGGGGACATTCCTTTTCTTTTTGAAAAATGGTTGTACATCTCCCTTTAACTCAGATTTTATTTCATTTTATTGCACCTGCCTAACCCACCAGAAAATACCTCTGGGAATTTAATTTTCAATTCTTTTTTAAACTTTCTGCTTAATTGGTAAAACCTTTAACTTTGACAAAAGAAACTGATCAGATTATTCTATAACTTAAACTGCTCCACCCAGTCCATTCCAAAAAGGTTATTTGTATTTTTCATTACAAATAGTTTTAATTTCAACGTTTTCCTGTTCAACATCACATTTGTCATAAATTCCCCTTCGATTTTTATTTTCTGTCCTGTAACACAAGTGATTTTCTTGGCAACGCTTTTTTTTTTTTTTCCTGTATATACATTTCACAGCTATTTTGAGGCCCCACTGAATTTAAATAAAGTCAATTCAGGTTTGCTATGATAAAAAAAAAAAAAAAAAAAAAAAATGTATTTTCATACTTTTACAGGGGTAAAATATTGAAAAATAACTGTTTTATCATCATTTAAACAAATATCAAGGAAACTTTTGATCTGAACCCTATGAAAGTAGGTATATTGTAAAAGCAAAGGATATATTCTTTCATTTAAAAGTAAAATTGGCTGGTGTAAATGACTCAAAATTTTTTTCAGGGGGATAAAATGTGAAAAAAGTGAAAATTTTGCATTTTTTCTAGTTCTAAACAAAAATTTTCCCCATTAATGAGAAATTAACCATTTTTTTTTTAAAAAATCAGAAAGCCTAAATTATAAACTATTTTAGGCATAAAATTGAGAGTTTTGAAGGAATTCAACATTCCTAGGGGGTCAAAATGCAACAAAGTCCATTGGTAATTTTCGATTACATGATTGCCAGCAGTTAAAAAAAATTGACACCCATCCACGGAAATCTTTAGTAAAAGATGAAAGATTTATCTGCAATTCCTGACCACCAGAAACCAAAAGTTCCTGACCACCAGAAACCAAAAGTTCCCCCAAAATTAGCAGCGATAAGGAAAATTAAGCCAAATTGACATGTCTGAGTGAAAGGTCAGCCAGCCAGCAAGCAAGCAATAAACGCTTAGAAAAAGTTGTCATCAGCTTGAAATAAAACCCACCACTCCTAGATAAGAACAAAGGGTAAAAAAGGGGTCAACATTGGTGGGGTTTGATATAACCTATATTTGAACAATGGCTTCATGTGGTTTGTTTTGTTTTTAACACCCCATGGCCCGGGTGATGACAATAACACTTAGCAGACGACATTGTTTTTTTTTTTTTTCACCGCATGTATTTCGTATTTCCCATTGCCGGGCCATGTAGCCGTTCTTTCTGTTCAATGATGTTCACACCAACACAAGGAGAATGATATTTTGAAGTAAAAATAAATATTTTTTCATAAAAAAAAAAAAAAAGGTGATTTTTCTCAGAAATTACTTAATGCTAACCACCGAGTGACATTTTCCACAGCCAAATCGAAGATTAATTACTAGTGAATAATTCCATGTGCAAGCAATAGCTGTCTGGATCCTATAATGTCGCCCGAAAAGGTCCAGAAGTTTACTGATTGATCAAAAACTGTGTTGCGCATAATTGTGTTTTTTATGGTCAGTTTCTATTACTTCATTTTCGAAAGTCATCAAGGATCCAGAAAATAGTTTGGCACAGGTTTACTTTAAGAATTTTGCATTCTATGAGGTGTTTAAAATGTTACTGACGAATGGGATTTTTTGCCAAATATTTTGCTTACGCGCTCAGATCTGTTATCCAATTGTAAAAAATAATTTTTTAAACAGCCACGACCTGATGAATAAATTTCCTATATTCAACTGGAAGATTCATCCACATTAACAATTTTTTTTTTTTTTTTTTATAGCAACAAAAAATTCTTTATTTTTGTATGGACAGTCATTAAAGAAAAAAAAAAAAAAAAAAAAAAAAAAAAAATTTTGTTCTCCACATGCATAACATGGATTAGGAATAATGTTTTTCCTTCACTTTATTTTCTTGACGTACTTTTTTTAATGTGTGACACACCATTTACTTTGGCATCTAGTCAAACAATCATAAACCTCTGACAATCATCTTCTAGGTTTTGTTAAGTCAGACTGGGTTTGTTTTCAAGTTTATTTAAAACCCTTCTCCCGATTTCAGTGTCTTTTTCGAATTCCCTTGAACAAATATCAGGCATTTAAAACTGTCAAAAAAATTCTGCCAATTTGAACCCCCTACTTTAAAATCGATTCATCAATGCTAGTGAGCATTGTTGAAAACTTCATCTTCCTTTTTACTAAGTTCATGCATTTTTAGATCTTATGGAACAACAATGTCTTTTTGGGTACACTTCAAAAGCAAAGTAACCATTTCTTTTAAAAAACCACTAGTCTTTCTCAAAATATGCTAATTTACAAAGTTTGTGTGTTCAAAAGTGCCTAGTTTTCTTAACTAGTCTGACCATTTTGTGGTCTGACCAATTTAGAGATCCATTTTGTAAAGGTTTAATTATCTCTAGTGAATGAAAAAATGTTACCTCTTCTTCATATAATTGAATTCAGCAATCACATTTAACTAAAAGTGTCCTCCACGAAAAAATCTTCATTCTTGTCACTTGTTGACATTTTCTGTTCCCTTCTATAAACAATTCTTCAAATTTTTCAAGTCTGTTCATAATGTCTTCATTGTTCATCTTGTTGTTTCAATATTTCCAGTAAAGATGTTTTAAAAACGAAATTTTGTGCGATATGTGAACTAACTTTTCACAGAAGTATTTTTCTTTAGAAAACTGCTTCTCAGAAACCCTTTAAATCTTCCTACTAATTAACTTCCAATGTAACACCTTTACACCAAGAAAACCCTCTCAACAATAAATGATTTTTGTAAATTGGAAAAATACAATTTTTCAATTTCACGTGCCTTTCATTGTGTTTCCACTTTGTAGTTGGAATAATAACTTGTATTTTTCTGAATGCTATATTTCGAACAACTTTGTTAATATCCACATAATTCTTAGAAAATCCTTGTAGCCAGAAATGCTTTGTAGCTTGGTAATTTCTTGATCTTCCTTCACCAATGTAGCCGCAGTGAATTTTTACAAGAGTTTTGCTGATATCTTCATTTGTAGAATATTGTATTTGTGAACGTTTACTGGAGTTCTGTTTTGTTGAAATCTTTGTTTGCTAAACGTTGTACTGGTGAACATTTACTTGAGTTTGGCCAAATCTTCATCACCAAAATGTTGTAACCCAGAAAGGGTTACTGGATGAGGAATAATCAAAACAGAAGTTGGAAATGAAATGATAATCTTTATAACATCAACAAAATACAATACTCACCAGCAGCTGAAGTAGGTAAATCACTGCTAGTGGTGGACTACTTAGCATATTACCCCAACTTAAAATTCTAATGAAAAATTCTCTATGAATGCTACCAAACAAATTATCATTCTCATAGATAACTTTCATAACTTGAATTTCATCCAAAGATTTGTAAACAATCTGTTCCTAGACTTGGCTAGTTGTTTAAGCAATAAAGAGCTGACTAAACTAGACACTTCAAATATTTCTTTAAACATAGTACTGTATAATAGATAGAAAGAAAATAGAAGTCGTTTGATGATTCAATATAAAGAGAAGTGCCTGTTAAAAATGCAACAACATTATCATTGTGCCAGTACAATCATCAAATAAGAAAATGTTGCTTCCCTGCACTTTGCCCAAATGTTGTAAACATCTGATGTCATTTAGAAAACTCATACTTCATAAATGGTCTAACAGAACAAAAAAAACTTACAAAAACTATCAAAATAGAAATAAAACTTTCTTCATTCCATAATATGAAATGTATAATCATGTATGGTTAGAAGAATGCATATATATTTTCTAGAAAACCAAATAAGTTAAATTTTTAATAACCATTATGAAAGTAGAAGATATACATAAGAGAGAAAAAAAATCTGTTAGACCCCCCTTCAAACCAGACTTATAATATTTAAATAACCAGAATCTAATAAAGAATAAAGGTTTTTTTTTTTTGATGACATTTGTACTCTTGCTAATTTTTCACTGAAGACATGAAAAACGTTTAAATGGTTGGTACAAGTGTAGATTGGAAAGTATTTTTAGTGAATTAAAAAAAAAAAATTGAAACTATCATTTAACTATTAAAAGCTAAACAATGAATAAAGTGAAATTCTTTTAGATAAAGAGATTTTGACATTAACATGATATTGTTTAAAAAATACTGACCATTTCCTCCATGAGCATGGCCATGTTGGAAAGCAAAAATTCCAACTAAATTGACAAGAAATCCCATCACAGACACAGTGAAGAGTCTTTCATGTTTCACTTCAGGAGGTTCAACAGCTCTCTGTAAAGGAAAGATTCAGTGGAAAGAAAAAAAAAGTTTTTAAATTAGAGACAAATACAATAAATCAATATAGTAATAAAAACAGAAAAACATGTCTACATTTCTGTCATTGATTTTAACTTTAGCAGATGTATTATGCCAAAATGACTACCATAAAAGAAGAAAAATTTTAGGATAAAAGGTATAATTCATATCAAAGCAAATTATATCTGGTTTATTCTATACATGATAAAGAGTTGTTGTAAATCATTTCACTAGCAAGGAGCACATCAACTAAACTGAAATTTAATTTTAGTTTATTCTATGATGTATTGTAGATTTTTCAAGCACACACACACAAAAAAAAAAAAAAAAAAAAAAAAATCACAACCAATGGGTATTTTGATTTTGAAATTAAAAATTTCAAAATTTATACCATCAAAGTGAGAAAATTACACATTTGGCCTTAAATAAAAATCAAAGAAATCTGCAACACTTGTTAACAGATGAAAAATTATAGCTATATTTTCATAAACTCACCTCAACAGCTTCAGAGAAGATGAAAAATAATTTTCTGTCATAAAATAAAGAGCCCATTTTTTTTTCCTGTTACCAAAAGATTTCTGCTAAACATATCTAAAAAAGAAAAAAATTTTAAAGTTTCTCCTGAAATCTCTAAGATCTTTGGAAAAAGGTAATATGGAGCAACTGATGCATAATCAGAAAATATACTTTGTATAAGATTTGTACTTTCTAAAGGAGAGGTTTTATATTGATAGAATCATTTGTTGTATTCCACAAGTTATATCAAAAAAGCAGGTTTGTTAAGATCCTATAGAAAAACTCAAAGACAACCACCCTGAGTTCATGTTAATATCTATTTAAGAACCAAAATTTAATATTTTAAGGTTTTTAAAATTTGCTTATTTAGAAAAGAATAAATGTGCTTTATTTGAATTAGAGACCACAGAGACTGATATACCTCACTGACCCACATTAAACTCTCACAGAAATGAAAGAATGAAAAATAGCGGTGGACAATTTTCCATAATCACAAACTTGAAACTGTTTCAAGTTTGTTTCATTCATGTAATTTTCAGTAAATAAATGAATCATTTGGTATTTATGTAAATTCTTTTTATTTATTTCTTCAAACTGTGCTTGTGATTTTGTTAAACATTTCACATGCTTTAATAGATAGTTATATTAAAGTTTTCTTTTCTGTTTACAAATGTCTTTTGTCTCAAGTTAAAAAGTTTTATTTTTACATTAATTACATGTTTAAAGGCAGTTGCTAATTTTTGGAGATCAATTTTGGCTAGCATTATGCAAATCTATTTTTAAGCATTTTTTTTAAATTTTAAAATACACTATATAGCTTCACCAGTTATTGCTAAAGTTAACAGAGAAATAGATAAATCAAGAAATGGGTGTTGGTGCACAAACAAAGAAACTTTTATTACAGTAACATTCAAAGAACTAACTTTCTTTCATTAAAACACTTTATGAAAATATTCACAAGGACTTCATTAATTTACATAAGTTTTCTCTACAGACTTTCATAAACTTTACAACATTCTAAACACTATGTTTTATTATTTTTTAAACTTTGTTTTCATTTTCATTTCCAATTTGTACACTAAAACTCATTACCTGACTTGTTTCCGCTCATATCCACTTCAGCAATAAAATAACTCAATGTCTTATATAGCATCACTTTGTATTACAATGCAGATTTGAGGATTGAAAATTTATTTCAGTTTTGTAAAATTTTAGCTTTTTTTTCTTTTACTTAATTAGAAACTTATTTGCTGTTGATTGAGATTTGAGACTTACTTTTTGAATACACAATCTAAATATGTCCTCTTAAAGAAGGAATCTTATTAAAATTCTATCTCAAAGAAAATTATGCACTGTAACATTGCATTGTTTTATCATCTTTTACATTTTTACATGTAACAATTTTTTCCTCATTTTAATAGTAATTATAAAAAAAAAAAAAAAAAAAAAAAAAAAAAAATGGAATTTACCAAAGTGAAAATGGAATTAAGGAAAATTTGTTCCCACAAACTGGCAGTTCAACCAAACATAATACAATTGATGTTCAATTCGAATATATGACACTTACTTGTCTAGAATAGAAGGCAGAAGGAAATAAGATATGAACTGAGCAGGACAATAATACTAAGAGAAAAAATAAAAAAGAAAGATAAATTTCCACAATATTAAGTTTTCAAATGCAAATTTATTTTAGGGGAATATAATTTCATAGATATTTACAAAAAAAAAAAAAAAAAAAAAAAATTTCAAATGTAACATTGCATTTTGAAAATTTATCATAATAGAATAAAAATAATATACCAAAATGTGCAAAAACATCTTCATGTTAATGAAGAAAACTTTAAATTCATCATAGGAATTTAAAAATTACTAAAAAGGATATTGTATATACAAATGTTGCCTGATTAAAACAAGATGAGCTTTGCAAGTGGAATATGAGATTAGAGACATTCAAGTACTTAGTTTTCAAAAAGTGGCTAATGAAAAGAAAAACACTTTTACAAAAGTAATTCCTCATATTTAAATTTCATCAATGAGAAAATGTATTTGAGAAAAACATTTGTGGTTGAAGAAAATTTCCTACCAGCATATCTAACACTACCTATTATGGAGGTATTTTGGACACTGATAAGTTTATTTAATTTGATAATTTTTTTCCTTAAACAGATCAACACTTGGATCAGGTTCTAATGACAAAATGATTGCTTAGTTCTGAAATATAATCCCAGTTTTTAAAAGTAAAACAAATGAAATGTCTATTTTACAATGTTTGCTAACAAAAAAGAAAAAACTGGCTATTCCTATTAATCGTGCATATTAAGGTTCACTTTCATGGATATGGACTGTGCTGTTTTTAAAATTTATTTTAATTGTATACAGATATATATATTTAAATAAAAACAAAATTCTTTTAAAGACTGGTTTAATGCCTGAATTCATTCCTCCTTATAAAGATCAGTAACAGTTGCAAATGGTAACTGATTAATGCTGGCTTTTCTAATGAGGAATGCTAGTCTTAAAAGGATTTTTTTTTTTTTTTTATTCAATACAGATAATAAATTTATTAGAAAAGCCCAACAATCTGAATTCTAAATTGCCAGAAAATTGGTTCTGGTGAAAAACATTTCAGGGAAGATACAAAAAAATTACTAATTTTACAACATTATGTGCATTCAAGTGTACATTATTTGAGTACTTTGTTTTTTTTTTCGTTTTTAATAGAAAATTAGACATAGAAAGAAATGCTAGTAAGAGTGTATGTCAAAAACATACTGTAAGCCTGATAAATCTAATGGAAAGTAAAAAGCAAATAATGAAAAATCTATATTATAAATCTGGTTTGTTTTATTTTTTTATTATTTGTAGAGCTAAAAGAAAGAAAAATAATACATGATAAACAAGTGTGTGTGTGCACGAGATGATAAGAGCAAGAACTGCAGAAGATGGTAAAATTACAAATTTGTTACTTACAATTCAACTTTTACATTGAGGAAATTTAAATTAAAAAAAATTCAAATATTAAAAACAAGGTAATAAGTGAAAACAGAAAAAAAAATAAATAAACCAAAAACAACAAAACCAAATGATTTGTAATTGATTTTTTTTTCAAAGAAACTGATGACAGCTGTTTACTTAATGCTAAAAAAGTTTAGGACTGCTTAGTTGTAAAAACAAGGACAAGTATATATATATATATATATATATATATATATATATATATATATATATATATATATATATATAAAAAAAGTTCCCACCTTATTTTAAAGACAAGACACTGGACAGCAATTGTTTGTATATGAAATTCAACTTTTTAACCATGTATTTTTCTGTTTTCAAACTTCATTTGTGAATGTATTGACAGCAAACTGATATGACCCACCCAAAATTGATTATGGGGATAATTTTTTACTGCTTGAATAGAATTGTTTGAGTATCAGGTACATCCATTTTTTTCTGATCAACCATTGTGACATGTCAGTAAAAAGACATGAAGAAGAGAATTGAAATCATACCTATTCCCAAAAGCTGAAAATTCAAGTTGAAATTCACTTTTTCCCTCCCTGTTTTTCAGTGATATAACCACTCAACAAATTGACAACTAATAAGATTTTTCAGTATTTATGCTTAAAAAAGGTCTCAAAATTCCTGATTATACCTATAAAGACATATTTGATAAGGAATGAGAATGCAAGAGAAAAAATACAGGAAAAAAAAAAAAAAAATGAGTTTTACAATAACTCTTTAGCAGAGGTTAAACTAAACATTTAACCTTTTTGCCAGTTTGGAAAAAAAAAAAAAAAAAAAAAAAAAAAAAAAAATTAACTACATAGTTGTTATAACAAATATTTTAAAGTTTAATACCAGTATCTTTTTTGAACAGTAATGACATTTAGAAAGAAAATCATAAAACATGAACAATACTCACCCATATGAAAAGGTTTCTGTTGATTTCCATCTTGATATAACTGAAGCAATAAGTCCGGCTAATAATGCAGTACAATCAAAGAACATATGGAAGGAATCAGAAATCAAGCCAAGACTGAAAAATGAGAAAAAATAGCAATTGTACAATTTAAATTTATAAGAATTAATGACAAATAACAGTATTTTTGTGCTTAACTAATTTTAAGAGAAAGCACAAGTTTGGAGATTTCAAAATGAAGCTCCCATAGTTTTCAAAAATAATTTACAAAATAGTTTTAAAACATTTTCTGAAATTCCAAAATAGGTTACTTATTCTATAAATTATTGTTTTGATTTCAAGTTATTTTTGCTATTGCATACATCAGCTGAAACCCTGTGATCAAAACAAAGACTGAAAGTTTTAGTCCTTCATAAAATAGTTTTAATATAAATGTTTATCAAAATACAGAGAAATTCTAGTTTAAAGAAGAAAAAATTTTTTTAAAATCTGAGATTAAATGTTATGAGAGAATTCCAAACAGACTATCAATATTCATAAAACAATGTACATCAAATTCTTTAGAAGTACATGCAATGAAATCTTTTCCTAATAATTTCAAGACCTTGCTAGTTTTTATTGGATCAGAATTAATAATTAGTTTTAAGTCAAATTCTCCAAGCTGTAAAAGCTACCATTGACATTTTATTTAAAACTGCATAATGAAAAGCTATTTCTGCTCATGTTCTTTCAAATCAACAATAAAAATATTGCCAATTTAAAAAGCTCAAATTTATGACATATCTTAATATAGATTGATAAGTATATAATGCTTCAATTAAAAGATATATGTATCAATTTGTATTCACAAAGAAAACTAGAAACTTTAGGCCACAGATTTCTTACTTTGGTGCAATTTGATAGCAGCCAAGAAAGTAATATAATTTATGGAGATTCATTTTGATTTCTGATAAAAACTCACCAAGATTATATTACAAGTTCCTTTCTCAACATCATGTTAGATAATAGCAATAAGTCTGAATATGGTAAATCTGCAACTAAATTGGTCCTTTTTAAGTAAGACTAAAAAAAAAGTACATTTAATAAAAACTGTCAACCTCTAAACTAATGAAAAAAAGAAAAAAGTCATACTACAATTAAGCAAATGATGCATCATTAACCATCCTATAACTTTAGTTTAGTTAGTTACCTTGGATGAATTTGGTAAGCATTACTGTCAGAACAAAAGAACTAAAGAAATACCAGGTTTTGCTGTCTTAATATAAGACCTGGTATTTCTTTAGTCTTAATTTGCATTATTATCTAATTGTATGCCATTATCAGAAATATGCAAATTAAGAGCCAACCATTGAAAATGTAATTTTAAAGAAATCTATATGAAACTAATCTATTAAAAAGTCATAGGTGTTAATAGGAATTGTTTCAGACCAACCTGATTCAACATTTTGTTGAAATTTTGAATTTGTTAAACTTTACTTAGGGAATTTTTTTCCAAAAGGATGGCATTAAATTAGAAAAGTAATATTGCTATAAAACTGAATCAAGTTGGTTTCCTTTTTATCTCCTTACCCAACAAAGTTTGTCAAATCATTGCTTCTATGCATAATTTTGCTTATGAGAGGTACAAATAATTCATAAATGTCCAAACAGATAAAGAAAGCTTAACAAGAGAATAATGATTGTAAACACGTTTAAACCTGGCATTAATTAAGGTTTCAAACAACCCTCTCTCTAAATATCCAATAATCAAACTTATCACTAAACTTCGACGTAGTTTATGCTTAGCAAGCTTGACTCTGAATTACGAGTTCGATCCTCAATTGGTGCTCCATGCTTGCAGCCTTGAACCACATCTAAGCTACAATTGGTAAATCACTAAATAAACGCCTTTAAAAAGGCAGCAGGTTTACCAAATTGTTACTAAAATGAATGTACAAAGTATGACAGTAGAAGTGAAAAATACAGTCTTAGAACGTATTCTTAACATTAGTTTCACTTTTAAATTGGAATATTTGGGGATAATTATATTCAGAGATATTAATTAACTTACATTTTTGACTAAGTGAGACAAATTTTCAACGGCTAAAAACATTTTGCGGATTTTCATTTGCCCCTTTTTATTATTTCATTTAAAAAAGTGAATAAGTAGTCGTAACGAAAAAGATGCAATCAAAGAATTATCTGTTAAAAATTATTTTGAGTTTGACCTCAGTCTAGCTTTCAGAGCCTATCTCACCAAAAACCGAAATCTTGTTTTCTTGCGAATTTCTGGGAAATTCGTTACATCTATTCTTTGTATAAACATTTCAAACATTCCTCTCAAATATCAATGCTTAGAGGGAGAAAAAAAGTTTTGCTGTTTGCGAAATACATGGCATTACAATTGGTTCGATAACAAATACTGATCGATTTTGAACACGTGTCAAATGTAAAAATGATACTGCGTCAGCTTCAGAGGAAAATCATTTTTGGTACTTCAAAAGTACCAGCTATTAAAAATGCTAAACAGAAAATTAGTTTTTACTAAAAAAATTTAACTAAATGAATAAAGCACACATTTTTCACATAAAAAAATCATCTGCGGTTTAAAAAAAATGTCTAAATGCCTTATTCTTAATTTAAAAAAGAAAGCAGACATATGCCATGGCGGTGTCTGTTAGTTCACAACATGTGAAACCAAAGCTGTTGAGAGGGTAATAAATAAAGTATTAAAGAAAAAATACTTTTGATTTTGAATCATGAACTGAAACTAAAAAAAAAACACAATATTGAGAGCTTAAAAAAAATCTCTCATAAACAAATAAGTTATAACCCATTATAAATTATTTATAATAATTAATAAATAATAAATTAAACCCATTTTGATGTTTTTTTAATGCACACAGACAATAGATTGAGAATTTAGTTAAAGTAGCAAATTTTGACACGGCTAAATCTTTAACAATAATAAAACACCAAAGTCATCTTTTATCTATATTGAATTGATTTCTTAGTTGTTTTTAAAATTAAAAGTTAATTAGAATTATTGACATTAACAGGGTTCTTGGCCCAAACAAAAAGGATTAAATCAATTTTAAAGTGATTATTTAAAATAAATAAATACATTCAGGACAAAATTTAGTGACTATTTCGTTACTTAAGGTAAAAAAAAAAAAAGCAGCATCATTAACAGATTGTTAAAATAAAAAAAAATTCCTTCACTTCAAAGTCAGTAGGCAGGAGATTAAAAAAATGTCAGCTTTTCAAAAGGATTGCGTTTTCTTTGTTAAACGATTTGGAGAAGTTTTAAAAACATAAATAAACCATAAACATTTTAACATTTAATGATAATGACGCTTGGAAAATAGTCGAGCAGATGTCATTTGCATTGAGTTGAGTATCAAGAACCCTTTATGACAGTCAAGAAGACAAAAAATTTTAAAAATAAGACAGTGTAGAAGAAAAGAAAGTTTTCGTTTAATCACAGAGAGTCGGCTTTTTGTTAGAGTTTTAAGACATGAATCTTAAAATAAAAACTCTTCCTTAAAAAAAAGAAAAGAAAAAAGGTGGTGGGGAGGCATAATATCTGCTTCACATTCTTAAAAATGCTGAGGCGAATCGGATCGGTACCGTAAACTGTCTTCGTAACAACAGAACTTTTTGATAATAAATAATCAGTTTTTTTTTTTCTTTTACAAGCGGATACAATAAAAAGTTCATGGCACAGAATGCTATCTCACACTTTTTATTTTTTTTCTGATCGTATTTTCCGGCACCGGTTACCATAGGGAAAACGAAATTGGACGACAAAAAATTAGTCATCACGAAGCAACAATTTTTTTTTGGTAAAATGCTTGAACAACAGGTTCGATAATAAATTGATTAATTATTGCCAAATTCAGGAATTAAAATAAAAACTTGAAAATTAGACCATTATTTTTTTTGTTTTATTTTGTTTACCTTTCTTTGATTGAAGTTGAAACAAATAAGTACAAAATGATTTTCAACAATAAGTTATTTTTGAAAGGATAGGATGGAATTTTGTTCCGGTATTTTTTTGTCCATCTGGTGACAAATTTCATTTTCTTAAAATATACAAAAAAAAAAAAAAAACAAACTAGTATTAATTTATTTTTTTGTACGTTTAAAAAAGTACAAAAAAAAATAAAAAAATAAAATAAAAATGCTACATCATCTGACGATTTAAAAAATTAGTGAAAAATAAGTTTCAAAAAAAAAAAAAAAAAAAAAAAAAAATACGTACCTATTAGTCCAAACACCATAGATTAATTCCACAAATGCGAACGAAAGATTCAATAAAAGGAACAAAAATATATTTCTAGAAGTTTTTTCAGAAAATATCAACCTGAAATTAAAATGTTGAAATAAGAAGGCGAAAGAAAAAGAAAGCATATTTGAACAATTTTTTTTTTTTTTGTATTTTAAGATAAAAAGACAAAGTTAAAATAAAAATAAGGAAGAGTTTTGGAGCGATTTTTATTAAATTATGAATTTAAAAAATATTTTCTTTTTAAATAACATAATGAACCATTTTTGCTTTCCCCAGGACAACATTTATTTAGTAGTAAATTATAAATGTATATATTGTTTAGTTTATAAAACAGACTTACTTTTTTTTTTTACTAAAAATGCTACAGAATGAAAACAATCCTTGACGTTGGCGATACATTAAATAAACAAGTTGACACAGTACACAGGAACATTTGATTAAAAAATAATTAAGTGATTTTCTGATTTAAATAAATACAATATACAAAGGCAATCGAATCACTTTAAGAAATTTTTATTTCAGGCAGTCTTCAGAAAGTAAACAGAAATACAAAATAGGTTTTAATTAAATATCAAACTTTTCCCAACTTCACAAAGCGAGTGGGAAAGAACACGTCATACGTCAGCCGTTGTTAAAGACAAACTAAAATTCAAAATGGGAAAAAAGTAATGACATAAGAAAGTGGGAAAACAAACAGTGGCTGCAATTCTCTTTAAGATAAATATATACATATGTTAACTAGAAATAAACCGACAAACAAAATTAACAGAATATATATACACAAAGTGACAAAATGCCACGTGTACGTGTTTTCAGTTTAGACAAAAATTGACATCTTCATGCAGTACACAAACTTACCGGAGCCATCCGTAAAATTTTTCTTTTAAGTACCATCCAGGTCTGTACTCTCTGTCGTGAATATGTTGGGGTAGCATGATTTAAACAGATGCTAAATTACAATAGTATGCTAAAAAAGCTTGACAAGTCTTTAAAAGACAGAAAAAAAGGCAACTGTTCACATTGGTCTTTTCATCATTCTAACATATTTTCCCCTTTCTCTTTCACCGGTTTGGTGTACTCTAGTTTATTCTGCAGTAGGAGAGTGTCACTTCCGGAACTTTAAATGCGAATATTTGGTATTTATTTATTGAGCGTAGCTTAGTTTTGGCACAATGATACACGTATGGTGGCGCCCAGTGAGGATCGAACTCATTAAGCAGTTATAATGACCAATAAGAGTAGCGTGTTCACTATTACTCGACGCCTTGGGGACCAGATCCAAGGATTGTTCGAATATACTTTTTTATCCCAAATCCTAATTTTTACTCTTTCTTTTTTTTTTTTTAAAAATGAAGAGAAAAAGTGAAAGTGTATTTTCAAAATAGGCTTTAATTATTAAATTTATAACTAAGTAAAATTTTACTATCCAATTTATTTGGGAACTTTGTAACTCATATTCACTTTATTAAATATTTTTTTATTTAAATTAAATACAATACAATGAATTTTTAATTTAATTATTCATATTACTTCGTTAGTTATTGTGAATAATGCGTATGATTTCTTAAATTTTTAAATAAATTTATTTACTGAATGGATTTTTTTTATCTGTATACTTTCTGTAACAGTAACACGTGTTTGTTTTTTTTAATACTTTGCCCTTTTTTAAAGATATAATTCAAATTGTTTAAATGAAATAATTGTATGCAGTTGCATCAAATTCCTTATACTGGCCGTAGCTGAATTTTAATCTGAAATTTTCATTATACATCCAATCTAGGTGAATAATTAAGCTGTTAAGTTCATTAACAAGAAAAGAAATTATTTTGAAATATAAATTTTTGCTGCCCAATATCAGTATATTACAGACTTATAGTGAGTGCAAAATAACTCCCTTCACCCACTTCCTTCAAATTTAGAGGACTGAAGAAGAAGGAAAGAAATTCGGAAGCCTATGTAGCATCCCGCTACCACTTAAATATCTAATTTTGTACATTTTTGTGCAAAAAAATGGATCAGAGAGCCTAAACCAGATCTTCTTCTGATTCATGTTACACAAATTTCCAGCACTGGCTGGATGTGAATGCCCCGAAACCCAAGACTGAACTAAAAATTCCATCTATGCATCAGCTCCACACACACCTTCAGCTTTCCTTAAACACCCAAAAAAAACATACAATCCATTTTTTTACCCAATAGCACCCACTACTGCCTAAAGAAGCGAAATAGGAATTGGAGCCTACGAAAGGACATAAAAGCCCATCAAAGAGACATCTTTGGCAGTCGGTCGGCAGCCAGGTTTCACATGCTTGTGGAAACGCTACCTCCACATCCAAAGACAACTGGCCTCCCATCTCCAAGGACAACTTGCCAAAGCCCGTTGACGTAGTAAATCACGACTCACCCTCCCTCTCCTACCATAAGCCTCTGCAGACAGCTTTACTTATCTCTTTCTTTCAATGAGAGACTTTCACACCACTTTACCATTCATTGTATTTTTTGTTAATACATTTATTTATTTCTTAAACCTCTGTTCTTTCTTCTTCTTTCTGCCACCATACACTTAATATAACAAGGGGAAAAAATTAAAACAATGAGAAGAGTGTCTTAAGTCATGTGAAAGGTAATTGTTTCAGTTCTTCACAACCAGCATTGAAGTACTCACCAGTGTAAAATTACTTGCCAATTATATTATCAACTTCTCACCAGCACAAAGAATTTTCACTCAACAGTCCAAGAAAGCTAAATATTTCAAACTATCTCTCTACACCTACTTTTGGATGTATGCAAACCATATAACTCTGCAGTGAACAACAAACTCTCTTACCTTCGTCTTAAACATTTTTTAATATTATTTTGTGTCAAATCATTTAATGTATGAACATTTCCTCATGACAATACATTAAAGCTACAGACTTTAAGAAAGTTTTTTTTTTCCTGAAACAAGCTACTGGCACTTCTTCAAGTGTGTAAATTTGTGAATAAATACATTATCTTGTTTTGTTAAAATTATTAACTGTGTTTCTCATCATTATCATCCTTCATTAAACTTCTTGTCATGGGTAAATTAACTGTTCATTTTAACCCCTAAGCCCCATGCCACCATAGACTTGACCTAACTACATAAGACAAGCACCCTTTTTAGCATGTCTTTTCTTTATTTTTATCTGTAGAAAATTTTTAAAGTAGGTACCTTCAAAGAAAAGCCATATCTTATTAAAATGCGTTTTTAAAACTGAAATATCTTTCTTGAAGCTTTTATTTTAGTTTTAGTTTCAAGTTGATAAATTTTATATTTCCAATAAGCAAAATACTTTGGTGTCTTTCAAACCAAATTTAAATTGATTGGAATGATTTTTTGAATTGTTAAAATTGCTAAAAATCAGTCATATTGACGCATCTGTCAAAACAACGTGATTCTCTTTATTAAATCTTTCAATAATAAATATGCTTTTCTGAAACTTTATTTGAGAAAGATTAGCTGATTTAAAGTTTAATTAATCTAATTTGAAACAAATAATACTTATACTTTGAAATATCACAGAAAAGCATTATTTAACATGGCATAGAGGCTGCACGCCCCTCCAAAAAATTTGTGAAAAATCAAAGGAGATGCGCAATGAGTGAAGGAAGACAGATTTAACACACTTGTCATTTTGCATGTTCACAAAATCACTTAGACTATGATAAAATCATGAACTTCTATGTAAATAAAAATCCATGAAAATTGACTTTAGTAAATCCTGTCATAAATGCTATATAATCACACCTACAATCTTAAAAGTTTGAATATACAATTTTACATATCAAATAAATGAAAAGAACATATTCTATATATATATATATATATATATATACACACACTGACATTCGTGTTTATTATACATACATATATATATATATATATATATATATATATATACACACATATATATATATATATATATATATATATATATACATTCATATTCATAATTATATATATATATATATATATATATATATATATATAATATATGAATGACACTGTGTCAACATCTCATACCATTTTGGAATCAGAGCTGACTTTTGTGAGCGAATTAAAACAGTCCAGACTGGATCTGTGCATTACCAATCCTGAAATTTTGGATTCCCAAGTTTTCATTACTGCGATAGTCTTCTGTGATTTATTTTGTAACAAATTTTTTTGAACGATAACAATTTTTATAATTTGGGAATAATTAAAAGTAATTGTGAATTCTAGTGAAAAGTCACCCATGAAATAAAAATAGTTGTTTGTACAGAAAGTGAAGACATACATACATCAAATTGTCTCTAAATTAAATGAAAGCAGAATTATTATTATTGTATATTTTAAAGGTATTAATGCAATATGTAAATGCAGCGAACAATTTCAAGTTCTTCTGTAATTTATTGTTGCCTATTGCATCTAGTCCTCCATACCTATTGTGATGAAGGGCCAATCATGAGTGCTCCACAACAGCTAGCTTAAATAATGTCTGATAGGGTGGTTTAAGGTTATATATATATAAGGTGAAAATAT